AAAAAAAAAAAAAAAAAAAAACAGCAACGACACGGGTATTTGCTTTTAAATGATTGCATACGGTATTACAGTACCTTATAAATGGAACGGAATACGAAACAAAAATTTCCGATCACATCGTATAACTATCAAATAGTGATCGTTAAATACTTGAAACGATAATTTCTAATAATCACCTGGATAATCTGCTCGACGTTCGTTATTCATAGTCTTCGCAGGAAGTCATTTACTTATTTGTTTTCTCGAAGAAACGTTACGGTAACATGTACGATTTTCTAAAAAAGTGTTGGCTCGTAGAAAAACGAAAAGAAAGAGGAAGAAGAAAAAAAAGAAAGGAATATTCTGTTCCAAATCGAGACGGGGAAGATAACTGTCGCCTAACTAATCAGAAGCAGGAAAACCAGTAACCTGACCATCGACAAGCCGACACAACTCACGTAGACATTTGTTGCTTCATCCACCCGAATTCCTGCCTCTGGGTAACTGTAACGGTTTTTATCACTTCCTCAAAGAGGAGGAGCGAGTGCACACTGGATGAGATCATTGCATTTCTTCGGGCAACTCGAAGGAAAACGAGAATTACTTGAATTTTCAAGCAAAACCGAGAAATTACATCTTTATCACATCGAACCTAACATGTTTCTTTTCCTCTTCGTTACGATTACTTTTGTCCTTTTTTCGCCTGGTAATATAAAGGCGTAAAAATCGTGGAAGAATGGAAAAGAAGGACACGTTCTTTCAAATGGATTCGACGATATACGAGTCTAAGACGATCCGTGATTCAACCGGACAGGATATAACGTTACAGCCGAATTCTTGCTTCTGAATAACTGTAACTTAGTTCTTGCACGATGAATATCGGGTAACCATGGCTTGATGTCGCGTCAGCCTCGTGAACGACATTAACGTCGTTGGGACAAATAAAAAGGAAAAATATATGGAAAGTACTTGAACGTCGCGGCGAAAATACAAGAATTTGTTTCTCTGTGTTATTGCTGCTTTCACGTAATATTGTACTACTGCTGAAAACGAATGTCTGTTCTCATAAGGTCGTTCACTCCAACCTTTCCATTCTCACGATGTAATTATCAATCTAGATATTTTTCTTATGTTTCTAATATTTTTCGCAAAACATCGTAATCGAACATCTTTTCCATTGATTTTTATAACGAACGACTGTTTGAGTACTTTTCTTCTACTTGAACAGTTCGAGTAGCTAGAATTACAGCCAACTAACTCGCAATAATTTTGATAAAGTGGTCAATTGTATCTTATCCAAATGATTTGTGCAAGTCATACAAATCTATCGCGTTACAACTGCGTCACATTTATTAATATCTATTTACGATTTCCATCATTTAGCACGATACTTTATCTATAATATCGTGCTTATCCAATTATTAAATTAAAACTGATATCAAGAACTTAAATCGTGGAATACCAAAAAGCGTAGATTAATCAGTGGATAAGAGGAATCATACCTTTATTATCTCGTGAGAATTTTCTCAGCAATTCTTAAAAGGAGTGACATTGTTGTGAACGTGTTAATGCGCTAACCATTTTTTACTTTTTAAATGTCACGTGTTCTTCGCACTCATCTAAAATTCATGTTCTTTTCTCTGTTCCTTTTTCAGATGTGGGATCGTGAAAGAAAAATCTGGATCGTCGTCTTCCTAGCCAATGTGCTGTTGAATACCGTCACCGCTTCCCCGATCTATGTCCCACAATTTATTCCAGGAAGTAAGTCACTTCGAATATAGTTATTCTCAAATTGAAAATATCGCGCGCCTTTCAACCGGTATACGGGAACGAAGTGAAACTCGTGTCAAGTACTCGTTTCACTTCCAAAACTGTTCAACATATCCAAATTCCAACACAGAAATCATCAACGTTGCAAAGATCAACGCTCTTTCATTCGTTTAAGAGTACATTTACGTTGGAGCTGCGATAAACGATAAGAGCGGCGATGAGAGCGAAGCGTAGAAATACATGCAATTATTTTATGTATGTACATGTGTATGCATGTAAAACAATTACGCGTGCTTCTAGGCTTCGCTCTCATCGCCGCTCTTATCGTTTATCGCAGCTCCAACGTAAACGTACCTTAACGAATAGCTTCGATTCCAAAATTCGTATTCGCTCTCGAATACGTCATTAGAACTATACAGTGGCTCACTAAATTATTTCAACACCTTAGACACTTTGAAATTTCAGTACAACACACTTTGAAATTTCAGTACAACACACTTTGAAATTTCATTAGCACCGTAACGAGACACGATCCCCGTCATTTAATTGGTAAAATTTAAAACAAGTCTGAGATATATATATATAGAATTTGAGATATTTACTAGAATTAGTTAAAAACGTAAAAATTTAACATACAGTATGGATATTTGTCTTAATAAAATCTGTTTTTCTTTAAAATTCTCTTGTGATTTCTGCAAAATATATACGTACCTGCTCTAAATATTCTGCAGCTTCTATGTACATCTTTAGGTTCGTTTCAAATTTTTCTAACATAATCACGATAGCCGTTACAGTGCTAACGAAATTTCAGAATGTTTCGTATAACGCATATAATATATCTATGGAGTATGTCTACAAGTGTTCGAATATTTTCATGAGTTATAGTATATGTACACATTCACATGAGTAGCATGGTTCAATTACGAACGACCAGTACAAATTTTTCTTTTTTCGCGTACACGTTGTTTTCTTTCCGCGATTCTTGGATTTCCCCCGAGTGTCAGCCGAATAACGGATCGGTACGCAAATACCTGACATGGGCAGGGCTAAACCTGTATATACATATTCTTCGATGTATTCGAGCACATGTAAAGTACCCGCCTGTTGTATACGCGCGGTTATTTACCTATATGAGTCGCAGGACGACATTGAACCTACCTTGGATTCGAGTTCGAATGCAACGTGGGCGGACTGGTCAGTTATCTATACAAGTAGGTCAGCCCCGGTCATCGGCGTGTACACGACTTACACTGATTTTTCCGATCTTGTCATCTTCGTTCTCATTGGTATTCCGATCGCTTCATTCAAGCCATACTTCGAGGTCTCAACGAAAAATCGGTCATCAAACTAAAGACCTTAATCGACATAATTGAACGAGAAGAATCTGCTGATTATTGATATGGCAAGTGAAATTACAGCAGCTCGCAAAACTATTTAAATGCTTATTGATAGAAACTTTTTTTATTACGTTTCATACGAGACATCTTTTCACTAGCGTTGTAAGGAGATTCGATTGTCATGATCATACTGGCAAAATTTGAAACTAATTGGAAGATGAAGATAACATATCTCGATTGAGGTTTCCGAACTACTAAGTATATTGACAAGTTACAGTATTTAATGCTCATGCTGTATACTAACTTTTTTACTAAATATATGTTTGCCATAAATGACTTGTAACTTCTGTATACAGTCTCAGATTGGTTTTAGATTTTACCGATAGAACCACGACAGCCGTATCTTGTAACAGTCTTAATGAAATGTTAACAATTCAAATCCTTTCACGAGTCGCTTTATGCATCGTTCAAGTTTGTTGTTTTCGACCGATCTTTTACGAGATTTGATGGAATACATTATCACCATCAGTGAAATCCTTTCGATGGTACGAATTCGCGTGGGCATGTACGCGCAAGCATGTGCGCTTGGTATAGCCACGACTGAAATTCCAACAAGTGCGTAATGAAATCGGTAACTTTCTTTCACGACTGTGACTCAGACGACACTTCCGGTAGCATACATTTTCTACGCGGAAGGACACCAAACACGTAGAACATCTTGGACAAGGGAACTGGCCGACTGACCCGAAAGCAAGGGTGCCGGGTTTGTATATAATTTTACGGTCGATTTTCACTCGCTACGGCCATCAACCTCCACTGCCAAGAAGAAAGTAAATATTCCGAGAAAAACGCGTTACTATCATCTATAACAACGTCGATCTCATAATTTTTATAGTCTAATTTCGAACATGTTTCTTCTAGTTTCCCACGTTTCATAGATCATTCAATTTGCATCTTTATCAGGGTTTTAGAAATTCAAATGCAAAAGAAGAAGAGAAATTGCAAAAGAATTTCTTTCGAAGAAATTCGATAAATTTTCCGTGTTATTTTCTATTAATTAATTGTTACTTCATATCGTTCTTTCCAGGTTGTAATACAAATAAAAAGTAGATTTATATATTCGCCATTTCGTTCTAGTTTTTTCGTAAGAGGGATATATTATTAACAAGTCTGCCACAGACGTTCATTATATAGGTGTGTCTGTTCCGGCGAGATGGGTCGGGTCAGGTATGTCGATTTAATCACGTTGAGTCAAAGAACCTTGGAATGTGCGAGAGGGATTCGTTAGGTAGCCAACACGTAATAGGACGAGAAGGAGAAGCCAAGATTGTGAGGTGTCTTGGAAGAAAACGGGCTGTTACATTAGGCTATGACTGTGACCGACTTTTGGGTCGGGCATCTAGCTCATACATCGAAACGTAACGGTACCAAGATGCTTTGCTTTGCCTGACATCAATTCGTTCTTCGATAACGCCCGCTATACTACATTACATATCGGCTACGTTCCATAAACGATTGAAAATTACTAAACAGTTGTCGGTTCGATCGATACGTATGATTTACACGTTTCAAAAATTTTGAGAATTTTAATTTAGTATATCAACTCTAATTTGAAAAAGATAGAATAATTTTATCATGATAATAAACGCGTAACACCGTTTTATAAGATAAGCAACGGATTGGCTCGCGTTATTGTGATTCTCACCCATCCACATGTTCGCATTTAATGAAACCAAAACACTTTGCGATATTTATAAATCATAAACCATACGCAGTTACGCATTTATCTGCGATATCTTGGAATTTTTCTGCGCTGCTCACGATCTACTCTCTTAATAAGTACATATTTGGAGTCCATTAAAGCAATTACGCCCACCGTTCCGTAATAATCGTTCTATAACGGATGCAATTAAAGACCAGGAACAGCACACCCGCTTCCGTCGAGAGATTTGCAGCTTCTTTCGACGCGATTATTAATTGATTATACTACCTGCTATCGTTCATTATCTATGACAGGATCGTGGCTGCATAGTAGGACGATTAAGGGCCATTATAAACGATGACGATACCTATTTTCAAGCATTACACACTGAATGTAGAACGCGTACAGCGAATACACAGCTATTGGTATCGAGCAAAGGTTAACGTTCATTCGATTAGAGATCACGGAATACGGAAGTTGTTCTCCGTATCCCTTTCTCTCCCTCTCTCTCTCTCTCTTTCTCTCTCAACTTTTAGTTCTTTTTTCCTTACAGAAGAGAGAAAGGAAAAGAATTGATCTTCTGATCTCAAAATTCAATTACAATGTTCGATTAAAAATTGTTTAACGTACACTGCCGGTGCAGTATTTAATCTTTAAAGATGAAATTAGTCTACATCATTCCTGACTTCATTTGAAGGTTTCTACTGAAAATGTCCGTAGGTACGGGAAGGAATATCAGGCACTTGCCATGTGTGTCTCGAAGAACTGGCGAAACTGGTGTTTGCATGTTCGCGTTTACCTGCGCAAAGGCGAATGGCACGCATCTTGGCACTTGCATCGACCGTTTCTATTTCGGTAGCTGTTGTAAGATAGACGAAGAACCTGACATTTTTCCTCAAGACAACAGTATCGACGATGGTTCTCCTTCAAGGCCGTTCGTTACGACTCATGGGCCAATTGAGAGCAACGATATACCTGAATATTTCTCAAGGCCGAAGCCGATCAACGAAAAGAAACCAACTGGGACGTATTCCACCGAGGTGAGTTATGGCTTCGAATATATTTACCAAGATTTAGTTCCGTTCTCACGATCGCCTCAACAACGTTGAATTCAATCATATCGAAGTTCTCAAAGAACGAATCTTTTTTCTTCATCTTTTTATATAAGCTGTAGCCAATAGTCATTCGGTGAAATAATCCAGTTCTTCTTCCTTACGAATACTTAGGAGACGACTAGCATGTATACTACACAGAGTATCCGCACGCAACCAACCACCGTAAAAGAAACAACAAAAGTGGCAACTAAAAAGCCAGTAGCGACGACCACTCAAAGGCCAACGACATTAGAAATCTCGACAAGGCCGCTATCCACCGCGCAAACCTTTGCCGAAACGACTAAATTCGTTACCAAGAAGCCGATTCATTCGACCACGACGCATAAACCTACGTACTCGTCGTCGTATAAACCAACACACTCGTCGTCTTATAAACCAACTCACTCATCGTCGTATAAACCAGTCCACTCGACTGTTCATGGACCTACCAATGCAACCACACCCAAACCTCTTCAATCGACTGTCGATCGAACAACCGAATCAACAACGTCGAAAACTGTAATCACGACTACTCAAAGGATCACTCCAATTACGAGGTTCCCACCAAGAAACGCAACAACCGCGAGACCATTGACTCATGCTACCACCAGAAAACCTACTACCAGTACTAAAAAACCGGTAATCAGTAGCAGCACAAGGAGACCAACAGCTACCACGAAGAAGCCCATTACACCCTCGAAGAGGCCTCCTTCTTCTACCACAATAAGACCGTCTGTAAATACCACTTTAAGTACTTTATCGTCAACGACCACCACGAAACCTCTATTGACATCCATCAAACGACCAACCATCGCGACGACTACCGAGAACGTTACTTTCTCCACGGTGACGAAACCAATAAGTTCAACCACGGAAACCGTGATTGCTCAAAAATTCACAACCATCGCCACAACGAGGCCTACCCAAAAGGTGAAACCTACGACGGTTAGAACAACGACTCCGAAGCCGTTAACTACTCCGAAGCCGTTAACGACTACTCCGAAGCCGTTAACAACTACTCCAAAGCCGTTAACAACTGTTCCAAAGCCAAAACCAACGAAGATCAGCACGACGACTCCGAGCCTGATATCCAAGCCCGACTACGCAACAACCACCGAAAAAACTGGATCTTTGTCGTCGATTAATGTTACTACCGTTGCTATTACGAAACCTAAGCCAACGATAGAATCAACAAAGCCTACGAAACCATCGAGTAAGCCTACCAGCAAACCTATCGGCAAGCCTACTGTTAAGCCTATCATTAAACCTATCAGCAAGCCTTCTTCGACGACACCCACAACTTTGCTTAGTTCCACCGTAACGAATATCAGTTTCGCGTCGTCGTCTTCCATCAATACGACCACCACCACACCAGCGTACGTTACTTCGACAAAGGTGTCGGTTGTTAATCAAACCTTTGGAGAAACTTCTCATACAACTTATGCACCTGGACTCGTTACATGGACGTCGAGTTCTGACGATACGACCACGAAGAATCCGGAGACGTTTTCAACGACAACTACGCAACCGGGTGAGTAGGAACAGTTAACCCATTGAGGGCAAAGTTTCCTATAATTTCTCCCTTAGTTTCTCATAATTAGATTAGCGATATTTATGGATTTATGAGAGATATGAAAATGTATGAAAATACAGAGAATGCATATGGTATACGAAAATACGTATAAAATATTTGAAGTATAGTACACGTTGTGATATTTAATAGGGCAAATCTTTGCTCGGGCTGTATTTCTTTAGTTACGTTTATAAAAGTATGAATTTGCATAAAAATCCGCAGTCCAATAAGGATGCAAATCCTTGGAATGTTTTTTCATAGCTACAATGTCATAAAACAGAATTTGAAACTTAATAGCTGGAATCTCAAAGTCTTCAAATCATGGTATTGTATTGTATTTTTTGTTACATCGAGGCTTATGCTTATTACCATCTTTTTTGAGTATGTGCACGTTTGATACATTTAGTTTCTACCTTAATTTAGTTCTTCGAACTAAATCTTAATTTACCATCTATTTAAATATAGTTATATTTTAAAGTTTTAAAATTCAAATCTTCAAGTTATGAAGATTTTGTCTTATCGGTGCTTTATTAAGTTACTGCATACAGGTTTTCGAGTTGCAAAGTCCCGGCTTAATAAATTGAATTATTTATCGGCAACGGTACTGAGCTATGTATAATCCAATTAATAAGTTCAATTAAACAATGCGTGATCTAATTGGACGATGTAAAATTTATATAATTGGTAATTAAACTCGTATACGCGATCAGTTTGAGCGCGGCCATTTGCAGTTTCCATTCGCATGCTGAGCGAAAACAGTAATTGATGCTCGGTGAAATCGAAGAAAACGGATATCCATTGTGTAACGTGACGTTCTTGTCGTCCATAGGAAATCATCTCGGTGGCAATTCACGTCGAGCTGCACGCCTCCTGCATTAATTATGTAGCATTAAGAAAATCGTGGGAGCCTCGTGAATTTGATCGATTACTCAGGATCTTCTTATCTACTCTCTCATCCGTACTCCTAACAAATTCGATGAATTCTATCAGATAATGATATTTTTTAAAGAAACTTCTAGATTTCAAAATTAGTAGAACTTCTATATCATTCGTTTCTAAGTAATATATTTATACATATATCGTATGTTTCGATAAGAAACATTGTTAAGTTACCACGTAACTTACGCTATCGTCCATAGATATTTACGCCATGCAATTCGATCTATAGATAGATATCTTCGTTATAATTTCAAAGCTATTGTCGAAGAACGTTTCTCTACTGTTGATTCTTTAATTAATTCATTAATTCCATAGTTAGGATGGAATATTCATTTTGCTTAACGCTTAAAAGCTATCGTGTGAGCAAAATTTCATTCCACCATATGTACTCATGGACAATAGTATACCTAGAAAGAGCATTCGATTGTACAATAAATCTGTATATTACTCGTAAATAGACAACAGCGAAGGCATCGATATAGTTGAAAAAATTCGCCAATATTTTGCCGTATCTATTGACCGCGATCAGTCTCACTTTGCAGTCGGTAATTGCATTCCAAACCGTACACGCAACAAAAGTGTAAAATAAAATTCCCGTATACGACGTCTTAATCGTCGTGTCTAGGAACGGGTAATTTGTTAAAGAAGGAAAGGCCGTACATATTCTTCGCGCATCGATAGAAGATGAAATTCTGTTGCGTCGGAACGTTGTAACGGTTTAAACCGTCCACCGTAATCTTTCCTCTCGAATGCCACGCGAACAGCATCCACGATCTCCCATTCCATCTCTCGCCTCTCTCTTCCGTTGTAATTTAAACGAGTCGAATTATTTTCCGATAACTGCACTCCGTTCTAGTTTTCGAATGCTTCCAATTACTTTTATTCGTTAGACGCGCGAATAAGAAAATTCTGCGAATGTACGATATCGATCGTTAATAATCCTGAATCATCCTGTAGATCAAACCGAAAGCGAGTGGACTCCGATAACAACTCCAGATGGCTGGATTATGATTCAGTCACCCACTACCAAAAAACCACAAACAGTAGAAGATACGACTGATAAGCTTGTTCCAGAATCTACATCGCAATTCTCGACTTCTGGTACGATGATTAAGTAATTCCAGATAATAATCGATCTAGTTGGTAATCACAAGCAGAACTCGCACAATATGCGATCGATGTTGCAAAAACAACTATCTACTCGGTACACGGTAACTCGAGGGAAACGTCGAGTTATTCCGAAAACTCGTAGCGAAATGTGAAATAAATTCATAGAATGTGGAATTAATATTTTATCGAATATTTTATATAGCGCCTTCTTTTAGAAATATTCCATCAATTATCGATTATTTCTTTTACCAATGAATTCTTCCGAATTTTTACTACTAAAAGGTTTTTCGAGAACCAAAAGTAATGACATGCGCGAATGATACGCACGCACAAATTACGTAACAAGGCTAATATTTTGTTTAAAAGAATTGAAACGCGATAAACTGAAATTAAAGATGCTAGAGTAATTTTTTGCTTTTCTGGAAAGGGCAAAACATATAGATAACGATGCTTTTGTTACGAGTCCTTCGATTTCTCTGCTCTATATTTTAGCTATTTTTTAATAATTTTATTAAAAATGTTGTTTATTTAAAATCTTGTTTTTCATAAAAAAAAATTCACAATTATTTAGCTAAACCCACGACAGAAACTGGTACAGAACACGAGGTAACGAAAAGACCCACTATCTTGACAACTCTGTCCTCGATCGCCAGTGTGACGATAGATACCGAACTTCCGGTACCGATGGAAACACTCAACATGTCGGATTACAAGCAAGGTGAGCTTATCTTATACAATCGTTTAATCTCCGTTCATATAAAGAGTAGCTCGATCGATGACGATAATGTTTCGTAATTTCTGGATAACTTTAATCTTGCCGCTATCATATCAGAACCGATAGAACATTTATTTAAATCTTATTTATGCAAATGCTGCTATGAAATGAGAATCTATAGTCGATAATATAGAAACCTGAACGTTATACAATACGATTATAACGCGTGATCGTGAGAAACAAAGATTAAAAGAGGAAAGAATGAAAAAACGTATTTGCATATGTAAAACTAAGCGCGCGAGGTAACATTGACGAATCGTTTCCATTCATGACTGCATCGTGAATAACTGGTCAGAAAACGCGATGATCTTTTTCACTTGCCAAACCCGAAGCAGAATCGTACGCATAATTAGAGGTGTGAGGAAGAAAAAACATGCTGGGAAGGGGCGCTCGCGATGGTACCGGTTCATCCAGTTGGACCAATATAGAAGACTCGTTCTCCAACATGGCTGTGTCATTGAGATTCGCGAATTTATTGAAGGGCTTAAATTCGACGATGCTTGTTCTTGCAGTGTGCGGAAGAAGATTGTTCCCAGAGTCGCGAATCGTCGGTGGGAATCGTAGTTCGTTTGGAAAATGGCCTTGGCAGGTGAGTACAATTCGAGAAAGTTCTCGGAGCTTCGTTAAATCATTCAGAATTAAAGTGGAAATCTCGCGATCGTTTATCAGTCACCGTGTTATACAACGTACTTGTACATCGATGTATGTGTGTGTAAACGACCATATCACACGTGTTGCGTGTTCATGTAATTGATATACAAAGTCGAGCGCAGCCAAGCATCGTTAAGTAAGATCGATGTTTTCTTTTCAGATCTCGTTACGACAATGGAGGACGTCGACGTATCTGCACAAATGTGGCGCAGCTTTACTCAATGAGAATTGGGCAATAACAGCAGCGCATTGCGTCGAAAAGTTGGTATCATGTTTATCATTGCGATTAGCTTCGATCTATATTATTTCCTTATTACGATTAATCGATTCCAAGAACTAACTGAGCATATTATCGAACCGCAGTTTTATGAAAAATATATCTTTATCTAAAAAAAGTGTTCGTTTGAAAGTTTCTTTGAATATGATTTTTTATCTGCAGCGTACCACCAAGCGATTTATTGTTGAGAATCGGCGAACATGACCTTGCCAACGAAGACGAACCTTACGGCTATCAAGAAAGAAGAGTTCAAATCGTGGCCAGTCATCCACAATTCGATCCTCGAACCTTCGAATATGATCTTGCTTTGTTGAGATTCTACGAACCTTTGTTACCGTTTCAACCAAACGTTCTGCCTATTTGCTTGCCGGATGACGACGAAAGTTACGTTGGCCGTACTGCTTATGTCACTGGCTGGGGCCGACTTTATGACGGTACCAATACGTTCATTTTACAAGTATTCTCGTAATGGCATAATTTAAATGGTATATTGATTAAAACTTAATTCTTAGAGGGCCCGTTACCATCAGTTCTTCAAGAAGTGGCTGTGCCAGTTATAAATAACACAATGTGCGAGGTTATGTACAGGAATGCCGGATACATCGAACATATTCCACATATTTTTATTTGCGCTGGATGGCGAAATGGCGAATACGATTCCTGTGAGGTATGCTAATTCTCTTCGTTCTGTATGTAGATGCGAATATAATGACACACGAAAGTAATTGAGCACTTATCACAAAAAACATTTTGAAATTTTATTAGCATTATAATGGGGCACGGCTGCCATCGTTATGTTGGTAAAATTTTTAATCGGTCTGAAAATGTGTGTATTTGCACACCATTGTAGCACATACTAATTAATTAAATTCAATTGTATGAAATTTCGCGTCATTTAGTAGTACTTTCACGTAACATAAAAAATTTAATACTGTAAAAATGAAATACTGTGAATAAATGGTTGCTCAGTTTTGTAACTTTTGCATATGTATTCAAGTTCGTTTCAAATTTAATCGATATAATCATAATAGTCGTGTTTCATCGTAACGCTAATTAAATTTCAAACATTTCCGAAAGCATGTACGATGTATTCATGAAAAGTTTCGACAAGTGTTTATGTACTTTTATAAGCGAAGAAAGAGAAATACGTAACTCCATTCATCCACTGAATACAAAATTTGCAAGAACTAAAACAAGAGTTTGTATCGTTGCAGGGTGACAGTGGAGGGCCTATGGTGATTCAAAGGGCGCGCGATAAGCGCTGGATACTTGCTGGGGTGATCAGTTGGGGAATAGGTTGTGCGGTACCCAACCAACCAGGAGTTTACACTCGCATCTCCGAATTTCGTGAATGGATAAACCAAATTCTTCAATTCTAGACGGAAGTTCCGAGCAGCGGATCACGTATCTTTTTGAAAATGATGGTTACATGTGGAAACCATCACAAAGAGACATCGAGACAAGAGACCATCGCTCGAAAGTTAATTTCGAAAGATGTACAAGTTGAATGTAGTGAAGTCCGCGCGGCTGTACATAATATTATTTTATACAAATCGTATGCAAAGACAGTTTTCCTCGCGGAAAACTTTCCACGTAGCGGATATTAAGAAAAGAAGGGAAAAGAAAGGAAAAATACGAGTCGTCGTATGTACGTGCAACTACTCTCACGAAATGTCATCAAACGCGATATCTAGTAAGATTAATGTTTTGTACTGTGTGATGTATTTATATGACGCATTACGCGACTCTGTTATTAAGTGTAGGTGGACTTTGGGTTGATCAGTGTATGTCACGCTTATATGTTGCATAGTTTCATACGTAAAACTATGCGTGATCGTCCGTAGATAATTAATGCCGCCTTTTGCTCGTGTCACAATTTCAGCGAGCGAACACCGGTCGACAGAAAAGCTTTCTATGATACCAACGGTGTTCCCCTCACAAATGTCCAATGACAATAATATGTGTTAATGATAAGGTTAATTTAGCAGCTATATCGTGTCAATGATATCAACGCTTCTCGATGGACTCGATTCGCGTTACGTCATTTAATAGCGAATATTATCTGAGCGAATCGTTCGAACCGACCGATGATAACTATTTGCAACGTTCTCGTTTGACTGAGAAGTTTTGCAAAATTAGACGTAATTAAATACCTATCACGATACCACGACGAATTGTACTTCTTGTAAAATATCCAGCGTCGTAAGGACGGAAAAAAACGATGTGAACTACGAAGAAAATTGACGAAGGAAGTACATAATATTCAACAACTTCTAGGCTCTTTCCAGGTTTATTTTCACGTCTTCCAATAATTCCAATTACTTCCAATATTTCAGGTGTTAGAGCCTGAATAACGCGTGCAATGTGACTTTTGATATTATTCTATCAAGTAGTATCGCGTGCATAACATATAACAATTAGAATAAATATGCTGTACAAACATGTAGAGCGTCAAAGATTCGACTCTTCTAGTAATATTAACGTGAAGCAAGGATGAATCCTTCAATAAGATATAATTCCGTAATTGCTGTAGATACCGCATGCAATGTTATCGAATTACATAGAGACTGTTAATGGTATTACATGATTTTAGTTTTATTTGATATCAAATGAGGAACCCGATGCTGTTTGCGTTAATTTTCGTAATTTATCAAAATACTGATCAACCTATGTTTACGAATCGATCTGTTATTTGATCGACTGATTTAATCGAAAGTAAAAATAACGTGCTCACTATCTTTACCCTTTTGACAAATACAACCAACTATCGTTACACGCAATATCATCGTATGTAATAAAATAACGATGTAAATCGTATATAAGAAACTAAATTAGCATTCGATAACAAAAGGAAGAAAGAAGAAACTAAACACGTCGTTTGTCGTGCGATCGAAATTGCCTAAGGTAAAGAAATTATTTAATTTAATTTATACGAAAGTTTATATTTGTACGAGTGTATGTACAGATATAATACACACGCGGGTATAGCCAGTCGTGTATGCGAACAAATAATTTATTAATATATGTTGTAGTTGGGGCTGTGAAAATATACAAAACCCCGAGCTTGTAAATAATTGATCGATTGGTGGTGCGTGTTTCATTCTATTACAATCTGTTATTTTCTACTGTTTTACTATCACGTTTCTCCCTCGGTGCCTTTGTATTTACCAATCGAGTATTAAAACGGACAAAAAAAAAATCGATGTTCCTCATCGAGGAAAGGCTCAGTGAATTACCTGCTTGTCAAGTGCAATCCCTCGCTCCACTTTGTTTGTCCTCGCAACCAATCAACGTGGGTGTTGATATTTACGAATCGGTCTCAAGTGAGAGTTCAAATCTCATCTACACGCAACGCCCACACTATCGCCTGCAACTGTATAGAGCGAGAGTAAAATTCTAGAATAATGGAACGGCTTGTTTGCCGAAGCGTCACGAGGAGCAAACGATTATTAAGCAGGTGGCATGAAACATTTAAGGGAAGAGAAAACGCAATGGAGATCGTCGATCCTCTTACAAGTACTTTATTTAGAGTGGCTCACGAAAGTACTTATTTGAACACTTACCATAGAAAATTTTTATGAACTCATTATTATTAATTAATTTCATTAATATCGTAATGAGACACGACTGCCATGATTATATCGTTAAAATTTAAAACCAAACTAAAGATGTATATAGAAGTTACAAGATATCTACTGTAAATATACATTCAATGAAAAATTGTGTACGGAATGAATAACAATAGTACTCGACCGTAGTAGTAGTGCTAAAAATGGTCGCACTAAAGAACTATCAAACAAACGTAATCTATATAATTATGACGTCGTCCTCTATTATTGTGCTAATGAAATTTCAAAATATTTTGTACGATACGTACATACAAATATATTCACAAAGTGTTTCTTTAAGTGTTTACATAATTTCGTGTGTCACTGTATCTCTCTTTATCGCGAGTCGAAAGAAAGTTATGTAAACAACAGTTTATATTGCATGTGTCTGATGACACAACATAATCGAACATATTTTTCGACCAAAAGAAGCTATTTGTATTCAGTTAAAAATAATCCTACATAAAAACACGGAAATTTCTACCTGGTGTTATCTGATTGTTTCTCTCCGTACTTTTTACAAATATTTTTGTGACCTTCATAATGTACTCTTTCGAACCATATTAAAGAAATGTACGAGATTCCATCGTCAACTAAATATAATTCCTTATTAGCGATAACCACTGATTACGGTATTAAGGCGGATCGATTTTTTTTTTTTTTTTCATAAAAATGTTCGTGGAAGCGGAACGATTTTCTAAAACTTTCTACAACGCGTGGATATCGAACGTTAAAAATATCCATAAAATTTGAAAACTTCTTCCGATGCTATATCATTATCGGTTGGCATTTACGTAAAGTATGTAATTCGCACTCATCCGTATCAAGTGTAAAACTACATGAACGTGATCTACTTCTGATTGGAATCGAAGTAGATGCGAAATTGGTATTCCAACAGTGGTTTCTATTTAACTGAAAGACATCTGAAGTGAGACATTTTCGAGGCAAGTAGAATCTTAACTTTGGCTACAGGACGAAGGAGGAGAATTTTCCATGGAATAATCTATAGGAAATGTTCAACGAGTCATTATGTTATTATAGTTAACTCAATAAAGAGTCCGAATTAACGATTGATTTAATCTTTATTCGATTATCTACAGGATATCAACTGGTTTGCGACTTGCTCTTTTCTTTTCATCACGTCACATTTGCAGGAAGCTCATTTGATTAGCAAAACGTAAAGATAAAAATATTATTGTCTAATTTTGTTTTGGTCAGCTTCTCGCTTATTGATTAATTTCTGAAGCGAAATTGCTAGATATCGATCGTAAATCAAGTGAATCAGGTGGCCGTGGAACAAGTTGAAACCTCCAATTCATGGAATTTGTAAACACATTTATTGCCACATGTATTTCCAGGTGATGTCTTATCAATGAGCATTGCTAACGAGCGGCTTAACCATACACGTATTTCCTATATCGTCCATGATATCACCGTGATCCGATGTAGATTATTTCATTAATTTTCCTATGCCTTTCACTTTAGAAACTGACCTAACGTTATATTGGAAAGTTTATGATAACGAAACAGAAACGCGTTATGACGTTAATACCTCGGCTTTGTTACGATAGTTACAAATAACGAAAATCTTAACTATCTATCATTGAAGAGATTCCAAAGACTGCGATCCGCTGCAATTGCCAACTATTATAATCAGGTCGATACTTCTATTTTTATAATTATCGATGAGATAGTTCAGCTACATGTAATTCTTACAGATAACAAAAAGAGAAGAAAGGAGAAAAAAGACAAGGGCAGAAGATTATTTACGCTCGTTTTCTCGCTAAAAGACGGTCTGGCCTAGAAAGTATCGCGGTTTTTAGACCTGGTCGAATGGGACAAACAGATCGTCGCGCCCAATTGTGCCAGCATGTCGCCGGGAATGTAACTCTCTCTCCTTTCACGCCATTTCATTGGTACGTCAATTCCGTCTTAGCGATTCGATCTATAACATAGAAGCTTTTATCTATCTTTTTTAGATCGCGAATCTCGTTACTTTTTTTCGGGTTACTATAAGCGACAGCATTCCGTGGATTTTATCGTCGATTGAGCAGGTAATTACACTTGGAGTGACTCAAAGCAAGTGCTCTCCAAATGTTTGCATCGTATCCGTGACTTCAGTTCAAAGCACTTGTTGAAAAGCAGGAGGGAAAAAAGCTGTTGAGACCTATTTTCGCGAGATGCTCCTTTCATGTATATCCCGCCGTGGCTGTACGACGAAATTTCAGTTTCGTCGAAGGTTCGTTGCTTCGAAAGAGGAACGGCGAAAATTCGATGAAATTTTGCTCGTACCATTGTTTCTTTATGCTATTAGTTTCAGTCACGAAGTAGCCAAGCTATTATCGTTAATCCACATACAGCATACCGTTGTTCGGTGCTAAGTAATTTATTTTAATTTCATGGAAAAGTGAGTAATTTAAATGTCTGGCCTCTCCTTTCGACGTGTAACCTCTAATTGGAACAGTAACAGAAGAATGTAACTGTTACAAACCGCATGAAATACCGCTGGTGTCTCGAGAAACAATAATCGTTTGTAATTTCTCGCCACGGTTTATGTATCCTGCCAAGCCCCATAAAGATCGTAAAATTACGTGTTTACACCGACTTCTTGCATACCGCGGGTGTTACAATGAAAACGTAATCGTAAGGGATTTTCTACACCGTGGCTGATACAAAGCAATCGAAAATGTCACAGACGTGACGGTTCATGGATGGATGTTACTGGACCGGGTTAAGTGGCTTTGGAGAAAGCCAGCTACCTCCGCCTTTTCCTTATGAAGTCACGAAACCGTGCGGGTAGCAGTCAAGAAGAAGCCATTGACGGCCTTCACCCACCGATGATGACACAAACCATGCAAATTCCTGCCTAGCCAATATTTTTGTCCTCGAAAAGGCGAAGTCGAGTTCGCGAAAGTCTTCGAACACTTGTACATATCTTTTACGAATATACGAAAATGCATTACGTGTTTAATACGAAATATTTTACAGTTTCATTAGTGCTGTTATGTCATTATTACGATCATACCGATACAGTTTGAAACAAATCTGAGAATCTATACAGATTACAATTACGAGATTGGAAAGAAATGTTAGTAAAAGACGTACATTACGAATAATCATTTCAAGCATGTAAATGTTAAATATGATTCCACGAAATATCCATATTTATCAGTATAATGGATAATTGTCGGTTCACGTATTTTATGATCTATGCGAAATATAATACGTACGATACGATAATAGAAGTTCTTCGTGGAAAATGTTCGTGAGCTTGTGTATAGTACGTGGAAAGATTCGATGGTTTAATTAGAAATATCTGATCGTGCGATTATTGTAGCCGAGGATCACACGATAAAGATATGATAAGTACGTTACGTATATATTTTATGACGAGCAAATTTGATACTTTGAAAAATTTTAAAAGATAATATTCTATTATCCATATCGTAAAAGACAGGTGGCTCCAAAACTAAACATAAAGACAATTCTAATCTGAATATGAATACTGAATTCTAAAACTGATTTCTCATAATAAATACGAAATTCGTCTCGTGTTCGTACGTAGTGTTCGATTAATTTTTTACAGTCCTCGTCTTGGTTGTCGAAATGAAAGTAGCAGGTTGCGTTCGTATGATACTGCGATTAAACATGCAAACAGAGTATAGAAAAGTGGTACGCTGCAAGGATCTCATCCGGGCTAGAACGAGCGATACGACGTCGAGGACGAGGTGCGTCGGCGCCTGGCGCGCCACTGCGCCCTAATCGATCAACAGATTTTGTTCGAATCACCATCGTACTCGGGCAGGGTCATGGTCTGACCTTAGTAGACTAGAATGACGTCACGTAGACTTTATCGGCGCCATAGTACACGACCATTGTAGTTTTGCTGTACTGGGATTTTGCTTGCGTATTTTCGAGTCGAGGACACTAATACTTTTTGTGACTATCGCAATTGAGATACAGCGATTCGCGAGATTATTGTCTGCAAACACCCCCTATGAATATATTACGCGTTATACGCAACATCTTGAAATTTCATTAGCATTGTAACGAGATACGTCTATCGTGATTTCATTGGTAAATTTCGAAACAAATTTAGAAGTGAGAATTCCGAAAATGGGTATGAAAGTTAGAAAATTTTGGCGGTCAATTTTATTTTAGAAAGTCCATTACATCGATAGGCCGCGATATTTACCGGTACAGTTATTAGGAGAAAAAGTGAAATCTACGACTCGTTTTGTTTGTAAAAAAATTGAGAATGAAAAGAGGGGATGAAGGAGAAAGGTTTAGCCCGCATATTTATAAGCCTTGTAAATTCGTATGAGCAACGGTAAAGAAAAATGATGCGCGGAACGTGAAAAGACGCAGCTAAATTCTGACCTAGTTTTGTCAAGCGTGTCCTGGGTCATGACCATCGATTGTTTCTCCCCATTCCTTCTCGCGGGTGCCTTCCCATGGTTATGGGGTCACGACCTAAATGCTTTGGGGATCTTTTCCTTGAGAGTAGGTACTGCAGTGATCAATGAAATTGTATCGTAACAGTACGATACATAGAAACATTTCGTTATCTGTTACGATAATGAAAGATAAGAATGAGAATACGTTAAAAAGGATAGAAAATTAGAATGGTTTACGCTCTTACAGTTGAAAAGTTATCGAGTCCTCGATAAGCACGAAGTTGTATTTAAATAAATGTTTGTTCACGAAAAAAGATATACGAATGGAAGATTTGTAATCTTTCTTCGTCCTTAATCTGATTCGCATATTCAAACTCCTTTGATGCTTAATTTTACGTAACAGATCGCTATATCTTTCACTTCTTGCCGCGATTTCCCGAGATGATAGAAGCGTTCTATTCGGCAAACGGTTGCGCCTCAAGCGGTTAATTGGTATAATGATGTTAATTAAGGAAAATTTGTTAATCGTTACGAAGAACTCGTAATAGAGACGGTATTCTGCGTAAGTTCACGAAGGTGTAAAATCCATTTTACAGAGAAGACGGACAAGTTCTAACCTACTTGATGAAAGTCACGATCACGGTCAAACATTCGTACGTTCCTGTAAGGTGAGTCACGTTCTAAAAGGAAATGAGAAAAATCCTCTACTGTTAGCGTCGTCTGTAAGATTAATTTCCCATAGTGAAGATTCATCGCTCCTTTTCCGTAATCAATTCAACCACTGCAGAATTAACTGTACAGATAAACAAGTGCGCACACGTACAACGTATCTTCGTATCTCATTGATGCTTGGTAAGAGCTGACATAAAAATACACTCAACTTTGTTCATAAATTTCTATCTTACAATGCTTCCACGCTCGTTCGTTTCGAACTGTAATTTCATCCGGCAGTGTATTCGCCACTCAATTATGCTCTCGGTCGGAGTATTTCTAAATAAATGGGATGCCACATCGGTCTCAAAGAAAACATTGTGCGCTGAAAGGTACAGGTCCTGGCCTACTTAGGACGAGTCACGTTCACGATCAAGGAT